GAGTTTATGAGACCGACTGACAATGAAAAAGGATGAAGCCAAAAAATGGTTTGACTACAGAAATAATAAGTTGTAGATGTAGATCCAACTATTTCTGAGAGTTTCAATAAAATCAGTTCACTGGTTCATGAGATACAGTTGATTCCAACAATGAATTGCTAAGTTTTAAAACAGATCTTGTGCAGTTAGGTTGCACAAAGAATATTTGTTGACTCTCATCTACTACCATAACAAATCTTATACCAATATCTAAATAATTTAGCACAATTTTGGCAGTAGCCTACTGAAATGTATTAACATTTGTGCAGAACTCTAATCTCTATTCCAACTTAATCCATTCATCCATTATCTACCACTTGTTCTGGAGTTAGGTCGTGGGGGCAGCAGCTTGAACGTTGAGGTCCATTCATTTCAAGGGAATGTTTTATACACACACATGCACCATGCTCTGTATCTTATGATATTAATATATATTTTATAACCTTTTCTGCTCCTTTACCATTATTGTGAATGATATAAAATGTTTCCATGATCTTTTGTCTACATTATAATCATTCTGGATATGACTGTCGTTAAGAAGATAGTGGAGAGGCCATCTTTATATTTTGGAGCCTTTTGAATGTTATGGTAGACACAGTGATTATTCTCCATAAGAATCCTTGAAAAATGTTCTCCACCAGTGGCTCCCTGTGTGCACCTTGTCCTAGTGGTTCTGAAACCACTAGGACAAGGTGCAGGGGGTGGGGGGCTCAGACAGGTGGAAGTATTGATAAGTTTGTACTTGTAAATGCATTGATCTTTTGTGATTGACTGTTCTCCAAAGCTTTGTAATAAATATGAAGTAGCCTACACCTGGTCAACAAAAAAGGTTAAATCATGTCATCTGGACCAGTTTCTTTAAGTGAGAAATCTTTCGTCCCCCCATCTGGAGGACTTCATCAGTCTGAGGCCTGCCAACCAGATCTGTCCCACAAGTGGCCTTCATTGCTGTGTTTCAAGCATTTCTCTCTTAAAGAAACTGGTCAATTAAATTCAATTCAGTTCAGTTTAGTTACATATCGCCAAGTCACAACAGAAGTCGTCTCAGAGAACTGAACTGAAACATTCATATATAAAAATTATAAGTTAACTTTATTTATCTGAGGAGCAGACGGCTTTGAATTTAGGAACCGTGAGTAAACCTGCAGTTTGAGAGTGAAGTGCTCTGTTAGGAAAATATGGAACAATAAGATCTCAAATATAAGATGGAGCTAGGTTGTTGAGGGCTTTGTAAATTAGAAGTAAGATTTTGAATTCTATTGACAGGGAGCCAATAAAGAGAAGCTAAAACTGGAGAAATATGATCTCTCCCACTAACTCCAGTTAAGACTCTGGCAGCAGCATTTTGGATCAACTGAAGACTTTTTAAAGAAGTACTTGGGCACCGGATAACAAACCATTGCAATAGTCCAGTCTAGATGTGACAAATGCATGAACCAGTTTTTCTGCATCATTTTTAGATAAGATGTTTCTAACTTGAGTGATATTACGCAGATGGAAGAAGGCGGTTCTAGTAACGTTTTAAAGTGAAGACGTTTGTTGGATGACGGACAAAACGTCTCAGCACAAAAAAAGAAACGATCCAGATGACCTGACTGAACACTGCTGGATTTTATACCTGGACTATTGAGCATGAACTTTGGTGGTCCAGATGACATGATTTAATCTTTTTTGTTGTTATCTACCTGGATGATTGAGCTTACAACCCCTTTTCCTACACCTGATCATTTTGGGAATCTCAACACTTTTTTTGAGTTCTTCTGGGAGGACACCAAGTGGGGATTAAACTACAACAAACAGATTTATTACCAAGTGAACATCTATGATGGTGATGCACAGCAACTTTGCAGTTGGTTTTTAAAAAGTTAACCACAAAAAGGATTGCAAAAGTAAATTAATGTATTATGTTTTCCAAGTGACAACAGGCCTGACACACATTTAATGTGTTGCACTCAACTTCAGCCCAAAGGAGTTCTGCTCCGTGCCTCTTTCCATTCTAGACTGATTGCTTCATTCTGAAAGTGCACATCTGTACAGGCGTCAGCTGTGATTTATGAACTGCCAGAGGGAACATAAAGACGTACTGGTCTGTGCTGTTGTTGTTCTGAACTGTTTAATGAACGAGCCTATATTCTCTCCAGGTTGTTCTGGGTCTTCTTTCAGTTGGAGGTTCATTCATTCAACCTTAATTTATACAGGTTAGTTCCCATTAAGCCTCGCAGACTCATTTACAAGAGAGACCTGTTACAGAATACAAAGTAGATAAGGAAAAGAGAATACGAGAGGGTGGAGGAGGTAAAAAAAAAAAATCATATCTCACATCATGTCCTGGCCAGGGAACAGTGTGAAAGTTGCAAAAAAAGACCTCGCAACATACAATGACATCATAATGCATGTAAGAGCCAAAATGACTGCTATGTGTTGCGTTGTTTATGGTGGCACAGATGTTCAGATTTGTCCAACCCTGCAGGTAATTGCGTGAGGGGCGTGGTCACATATTACTGAGTAGATCTGCGTAATAGCATCAGGTGCTGGATTAGTAGGGTCTCTTGCAAACTTTTCTGTTGACCGTCACTGGAGGACCGCCAGTTTAAAAACGTCACTTTTGATCGACATCTTTTTCAGTCAAACTGATCAACATGTAAATTAATTTGGGGAGTGGTGGCGCAGAGGTTAGAGAGGTGGGCTTGTGATCCGAAGATCGCCGGTTCACGCCCCGGCCCCGACAACATCAAAATTGTGGGTGGGGTAGGTGAAACACCCACACTTGCCCCCACCCTCATTCGCCCCACTCTGGGCCCATGAGCAAGGCCCTTAACCCCCACCATGTGCTCCCTAAACAGGTCTCTCTTGAAAATGAGTTCTCGTGGCTCAATGAGACTAACCTGGATAAATAAAGGCTAAATGAAAAAAAAAAAAAAACATGTAAATTAATACAGACACTGTTTGCTGGACGGCAAAAGTAATGGTGTTAGTTTTAATAAATACACAGAATACAAGGTGGACTCAGCATGGATTAATGGAGACGCGTCACAGAGCAAACTCTACTCAGCCGGCAGCGACTTTTTGTGGATTGAAGTCGCTACATTTAGTCAACAGAATAAGTATCTTACAGCAGGCATCAGAGCACTGAAGAGGATTTATGGATGGATGGATTACACTGTGGATCAGATCCTCTTTTTGATACGCTTGGACGCTACAATACATTTATGCATGAGGAGGTCAGCAAAGGCGGTGAGTTGTTCGTGGACACTGCCAGAAAGTTCCATAGTTCTGAAAAGATGGTGCAGTGTCTATCAGTGGCTCAGTTCTGATAAGGCCCACAGATGTCCTCTGGAGAGGGGGTTAGGATGAGGGGAGGATCAGCAGACCGTTATTATTCACATAACCTCTGGGAGAAATTTGAGATAGCTGGCCTGGTCAAGGCCAAGCGGGGAAGCCAGATTTTATAACAATTGTTTTGGGACTGGCAGACTCTGCTTGATTTATTTTCTTTTTTATGTCTGCCTTTAAAAATTCTGCTTTTGTCTGCAAAAGACATGCCTGGAAAACCTCCTTATGATGTCTAAGGACAGATGCCCAAACCATCTCAACTGGCTCCTCTTGTTGTGGAGGAGCAGCAGCTCTACTCCAAGTCTCTCCTTTATAGCTGAACTTCTCACTATATTTCTAAGGGAGAGTCCAGACAAAGAAAATTCATTTTCCTCTTCACCCCAACAGGCCAGCACAGCGTCTGCAACACTGCAGAAACTGCAGAGATCCATCTGTCGATCTCAGTGCTGCCAGAGGGCTGTTTTGTTTTGCGACCTCAGGATTCTGTCTCTGCACTTTGCAGATGATGTGGTTCTGTTGAGATCTTCTCGCCGTGATCTTCAGCTCTCATTGGAGCGGTTTGCAGTCGAGTGTGAAACGGCTTGGATGAGGACCAGCACCTCCAAATCAGAGGCCATGGTCCTCAGTTAGAACAGGGTGGACTGTCCTCTTCAAGTTCAGAGGGAGGTGCTGCCTCAAGTTGAGGTTTCTGTTCATAAATTGGGGAAGAATGGAGCGTGAGTTTACACACACTTCTAGTGAAATATAAAATGGTTTCACTCAACTAGACCAGTACATTTTCTCATGTGAGCTAAAAAGGTTTCAAGATTTCCTGATTTTCATTGTACCCTAGTAAGTAGTGATTTTCTACACCTGTAAGAACAACTTTAGTCAATCTTGAGTCTCCTCTGACAAACTGAAAAGTGTAAAAAAAAAAAAAAACGACAATAGATCATGTAAAACATGTCACATTTATTCATCCCTTTTCTCAAAAAATATTGTCCGAGGTTGTCCCTTTGATAGAATCAGAATTTTAAAATTGAGGTGAAAATGAGTTTAACACCTGTTCTGTTCACTTCATTATAGACTGTGTCCCTCTTATTATGTATATATACATATATATATATATATACATATATATATATATATGTCTGAGGAAAAACAACTGGTTGTGAGTCTTTACTGAATAGGTGACAAGCAGTGGTTAGTTAAAAGTTGTATTGTCGTTCGTGTAATTCATATTTGTAGAAAAATTGTGTTGAAAACATGAAATTAAGTTTAAAATAAACTTTTTCTGCAACAATAAACTCTGCCTCCCCCTGCAGGAAACTCATCCTCATCCTTTGCCACTGCAAGAAAAATCTCTAGCTCTGCCCCTGTTGAGACCCCCCTCCTCTTTCCATATTGTTGTTGTTGTTGTTTTTATCTGTTCTGTGTGTGTCATTCTGAATAATTATCAGCCTGCAGGTCTTCTGTAGGAGAAGCGGCCCTGCTCATCCTGCAGAGATCCAGGGAGGCTGTAAAACACTCCCACCCACTGAGGATACACAGAAGTACCCTCACTCTCCCACCTCCCTCCCTCCCTTCCTCCCCTCTCCCTCCCTGAGCTCAGCTGTAACAGATCTGCTCGACTCAGACAAACCATCGCATCTCAACAAGCCACCGAGGAGGGAAACTTCAAGAAGCTCATCACCTCACAGCTGCCTCCTCCCCCTCCTCTCATTCCTTCTTTTTATCCTCCTCCCTCGCAAAGATGCTGGAGTTCCGACCAAAATGGACGAGGCTGCTGTGTTTGTCGGTGCTGTGTCTGTGTATCTGCCTTCAGAGGGAATCAGACGCCAGGAGAGCCCCAAAAGTCCCACGTTGTCCTGCGACCTGCTCCTGCACCAAAGACAGCGCCTTCTGCGTGGACACCAAGGCCATCCCCAAGAGCTTCCCCCCCGGGATCATCTCCCTGTGAGTCCAGATATGAGCCTCCACCTGAAGCGTCCTTGTTCATATAAGCAGGGTGCAGCGTGGGCAGCATGCAGGCTGGTACATCACTGATGTCACCACAGTTATGTAATGATGCAGGAAACATCTGGCTGTCTTTGGATGAATTTAAAGTGAATTTAAATGCTTCTCCACATCAGCCTAGCTGTACCTGGACAAGGTTTTATTCCTTCACATGACTTCATGCTTTTCTCCTGTCCTTCTATTAACCTAATCTGTGTGGGGATGTCGAGTTTTATTTAAGACTTTAGTTTTAAAAGCCCAAACAATGACTGCAAATGACACATTGGCAAGAAAACATCTGTACAAAGCAACAGAGGCATTGTTCTAATGTGCAACTCTTTCAATAACATTTAAACTACTTTCACATCAAACCATTAATTGTTTCAAAAATAATGAGATAAGTTGCATTTTCTATGAAAACCAGAGTGAAATCTGAAAAATGTTGATGCTAAAATTGAGTTTTTAAAGTTATGACAAGCAGAAATAGAAGCTAAAGTGGGCTGAAAACAAGGATAAAGCAGCAGAACAGTAGCTAAAAGCTATAAGCAGCAAAGCAGTAGCAAAAATCAGTAAAACAGATGCTAAAGGACTAATTAACAAAACAGTAGCTAAAAGCAACAAAACATGCTAAAATTAAAATGAGTGAAACAGTATAACTTAGCAAGACAAATGCTAAAATTAAAATGGGCAAAACAGCAGCTAAATGTGGCAAAAGAATAACTAAATTTAGCAGAACAGTCACTAAAAGCAGCAATACATATGATTAATCTAAAATTTGTAACATGTGTAAAAGTAACAAAACCAATGTCAAAAGTGAAATGAACAAAACAGCAGATAAAATTAGTAAAATTGTAGCTAAAAGCTAAACGAAGTAAACAATAGTAAAAATAATAAAATAGTTAGGCAGCTAAAAGCTAAAATAAGCAGAAGACAATAAAATGAGTAAGTGTGCTGAAGTAGATTGTCAAGGGAACAATTTATGAAAACACTGAATATGTATTTCTATAGAGTTTTTTTTTTTTATTAAATAAAGTTAAACATTTTAAAAAGTGTAAATATTACAGTAACCTGAAGTGTTAGCACATTATTGATCAACTTTAATGTTTTGATCAAGGGAGGAAATAGTTAAATAGCACAAAACAATGTACAGAGGAAAATAGGAGAGTTAATGCTGATCTAGTCCCAGAGAGGAACACTAACAATAGATTCTCTCGCTCCCTGCAGGAGAACGGCTTCTCCTCAGAGAGATGTGATCCTGACGACTGCACAGAAACACTGTTAATATATGGAGCACAAGTAATGAAGCTGCAGAGAAGTTCTGCTTTACTGAGAGGGTTAGGGAAAAAAAATCAGTCCATTTCACATTAACCTCCATCACCTGTGGATGTAAAGTTCAAACAGTGAGAGAAAATCAGGAGCAGAGGCTGATGATGTCCTTGTTTTATAACAAAGACAGGAAGTGGAGACAGAAGTTGACCTGGTTTTAAAAGATGAACCTTCTGAAATGATACTGGCGTCACGTGGCATAACAAGGCACATTATGTTCAGTGTCTTTGCATTTCGCCTGGCGTTCTTCTGTCTTGTCATCACGAGGACATGTCTGGTGACTTTTGTGCTTTGCGTCTGAGCAGGACGATGGTGAACGCAGCCTTCACAACTATCGCAGAGGGAGCTTTCTCCCACCTTCACCTGCTGCAGTTCCTGTGAGTGCTCCGACAACGCCCCATCGTTAACAATGTTTCTGCACACACAACATCACAGGCGTGTTTTATGAGACAACAGTGAGAGGACTCCACTCCAAACCAATGGTTATTGAACACAGTGGTGACATAACAGTAAAGAGGCCAAAGTGTCTCTGCCAATGACTGACTCCCTTCAGCTCCGCACGGACACACACAGACTCCACTGTCTCCACTTTAGATGCTGTCATCAGTGTGTGTGTTGTGTGAGTCGCTGTGTGTTCACTCCAAATGAACTTATTGTATCGTTCAAAACCATTTGCTTTATATTAAGTGATATTTATGTTAAGATAGAAAACTGTTTAAATTCTCTCACGTCTGACGTTAACTCTTATTAACGTTTTATTTTCTTCAACAGGCTCCTGAACTCCAACACCTTCACTATGATTGCAGATGATGCATTTGCTGGTCTTTCTCACCTGCAGTACCTGTGAGTGTGCAACTAAATGCTAACTGAAGGCCTAGCATTTCTTAAAGCAGCATTTGGAATAAATCATTAAGTCTATCATGTGTAACCTTGCATGATCTGTTAGATGTGTTGTAAATAAATAACTCTCAGCTACTACCACACCAAGTTTTAGCTCAGTTTCTGTAAAATTACCTGAGTTGGTCATTTTTGTGTTTTTCTTAAACTAGTCAGCTGTGACGGCCATCTTGAATTGGAATGACCCCAAAGGCTATTCTGTTGTAGCTAATGATTATTTACCCAACGTTTCATTGAGATTTTTTTTGGTGGAGAAACTTTGCACAACCGTAGCAAACACACATGCACATCGCTCTGCCTTCGTCTTCAGCAGGAGAAACAGGTACATCTAAAAAAAATAAGGACATGGTAAAAAAAAAAAAGTTCAATATTTCTTGTCAGTCACTTCAGAAAGTGAAACTCATTATATTACATGTAGATTCATTAATTATAGAGTGAAACATTTCAAGTCTTTATTTCTTCAAAGTTCATAATCCAGGTAAAATATCCAACAAAGTTAAGTCAGATCCTCTGGACTTTATTTATTTATTATTATTTTTTATTATTGAAATGTTTCCTCCTTCATCCAAAGGACTTCATCAGTCTGAGAAGCCACAACAAACTCAGTCCCATAAGCAGCACACTCACAGGCCAACCAGTTTTATGGTGATAAGATGGTTTCTGGAGTCCGCCCTCTCCCCCGTCGACTCCTCTGAGGCAGCCACAGCCAAAGTGGTTCAAACCATCAAAGTTCATGCTCAGTAATCCAGGTAAAGATCCAGCAAATTTAAGTCAGGTTCTCTGGACGGTTTCTTTTCTTTATTTCTTGTATATTGATGATTATGGCTTACAAATAATGAAAAACCAAAATTCAGTGTTTCAGAAAACTTGAACATTATTAGAAAATTAAAATATTATATCCTAGACATGAGCTACAAATGTCTCATTCCTCAAGTACAGCCAGTCCTGAACCAGAGACAGCATCATTCAACTTTTATTTAGACTGGTTAATCCCATTGAGCCTTGGGAACTCATTTACAAGAGAGACCTGATTTCTTAACAAAGAGTGATGACAACAGTGGATAACAACAGCAACAATAGACAATCATAAAATAGACATAGGCATACAAATTTAAGTTTCTCTTCTTTTTCTTTTTTTTACAAATCCAAACAAAATAGCAACCAAAAGGACAATCAAGAGGAATGGTAGTAAAAAACAGCTAGATTATGAGGTGATTTAGAAAACTAAAAACATAACATGTCTGCATTGGTCCCTGTCAGGAGTCCAGCAGATTCTTAAAGCCACTTAGAGAGGTCAAGGTCAAGAGCTTCAAATATTTTTGTAAGATATTTCAGGAAACAAGAGAAGAGTAGGAGAAGGCCCTTTTGCCTAGTTATGTCTGCACTGAGGGAACACTGCAGGTAATAATGTCCTGAGAGCGCACGCTGTAGCTGCACTCACACAGAGACATGTAGGAGGAGATGTATGAAGGCAGCAGACCAAGAAGTGCTTTAAAGATGAAAATGTACCAGTGAGAGAGTCTGCGTGAAGTTAATGATATCCACTCAACCAGTGAATACAGGGTGCAGTGATGGGTACGATAATCACAGCCAGTTATGAATCTTAGTGCACCATGATAGACAGCATCCAACATCTGCAGGGTTCTTGTAGGAGCGTTCATGTA